GATGATTAGAAAACTCTTGTGCAATCACGTTCACACATCTGAAAACAGTTTAGCTCGTTACAGAAGCTACAAAACTGACCTTCCTTTGAGCAGATTGAGTTTCTGGAGCATCACATTTGTGGGGTCAATTAAACGCTCAAAATGGTCAGAAAAAGAGAACTTTCATCTAAAACTCGACAGTCTATTCTTGTTCTTAGAGATGAAGGCTATTCCATGCGAGAAATTGCTAAGAAATTGAAGATTTCCTACAACGGTGTGTACTACTCCCTTCAGAGGACAGCACAAACAGGCTCTAACCAGAGTAGAAAAAGAAGTGGGAGGCAATGTTGCACAACTGAGCAAGAAGATAAGTACATTAGAGTCTCTAGTTTGAGAAACAGCCGCCTCACAGGTCCCCATCTGGCATCTTCATTAAATAGTAACAGCAAAACACCAGTGTCAACATCTACAGTGAAGAGGTGGCTGAGGGATTCTGGGCTTCAGGGCAGAGTGGCAAAGAAAAAGCCATATCTGAGACTGGCCAATAAAAGAAAAAGATTAAGATGGGCAAAAGAATACAGACATTGGACAGAGGAAGACTGGAAAAAAGTGTTGTGGACGGATGAATCCAAGTTTGAGGTGTTTGGATCACAAAGAAGAATGTTTGTGAGACGCAGAACAAATGAAAAGATGCTGGAAGAATGCCTGACGCCATCTGTTAAGCATGGTGGAGGTAATGTGATGGTCTGGGGTTGCTTTGGTGCTGGTAAGGTAGGAGATTTGTACAGGGTAAAAGGGATTCTGAATAAGGAAGGCTTTCACTCCATTTTGCAACGCCATGCCATACCCAGTGGACAGCGCTTGGTTGGAGCCAATTTCATCCTACAACAGGACAATGACCCTAAACAGACCTCCAAATTGTGCAAGAACTATTTAGAGCAGAAGCAGACAGCTGGTATTCTATCGGTAATGGAGTGGCCAGCGCAGTCACCAGATTTATATGCTGATGATACAGTGGTTTACACTCACGCCCTCACCACTTCAGGGGCTCTACAGGAACTTCAGGTTGCATTTCAGGAATTACAAAAGACATTGTTAAGTTTTAAATTGGTTTTAAATACACAGAAAACAAAGTTTATGGTTTTCTCAAAAGCTCAATCACAGCTACTTGACAATTGTAGTATTGTGTCCTTAGATGGGAAATCCATTGAGAAAGTGTCTTCATACAAGTACTTGGGAATATGGATAGATGATAAGCTTTCTTTTAAAGTACCAATACATTAGTGAAGAAGCTTAAAGTAAAGCTTGGTTTTTACTTCAGAAATAAATCTTGTTTTACCTTCAGTGCTAAGAAGAAACTTGTCTGTGATTGATTATGGAGATATATTGTACATGCATGCTGCATCCTCCATCTTGCGTCATATTGACTCAGTGTACCATGCATCATTACAATTCATTACAAATTCTAAGTCCCTTACTCATCACTGCATTCTTTATGATCTAGTTGGTTGGACATCACTTACAATTCGTAGAAAACAGCACTGGTATATCTTTATCTACAGTATAAAGCAATACTTGGTAAACTCCCACTGTACCTCTGTAACCTCCTCTCTGTGAGTTCTGGTAGTTATCAGTTGCGCTCCTCTCAGTGGTTACTTTTTAATGTACCCCGAGCTTCAACTGAGTTGGGAAAAACTGCATTCTCCTACTCTGCACCTTGGGGATGGAATAACCTCCAGAAAGAGCTCAAATTAGAAACTCTCGTGTCCATTAATGAATTTAAAGCAACCATGAAGAATGTAGAGATGGAGATATGTGCCTGTTTTTCTTGAGATGCTCAATGTGTTTTAACATACTGCTCTGATTTTATTTTTTATTTTTAAATTTTTTTTTTAATTATTTTTTTATTTTTTATTACGAAAAATGTAATATGTTGTAAATATGTATGAACTTCCTGTGGTTTGGCTGCTACCTTGGCCAGGTCTCTCTTGAAAAAGAGATTCTGAATCTCAATGGGACTTCCTGGTTAAATAAAGGTTAATCAAATCTGAACCCCATTGAACTGTTGTGGGAGCAGCTTGATCGTATGGTACGCAAGAAGTGCCCATCCAACCAGTCCAACTTGTGGGAGCTGCTTCTGGAAGCGTGGGGTGCAATTTCTCCAGATTACCTCAACAAATTAACAGCTAGAATGCCAAAGGTCTGCAATGCTGTAATTGTTGCAAATTGAGGATTCTTTGACAAAAGCAAAGTTTGATGTAAAAAAAAAATCTTATTTCAAATACAAATCATTATTTCTAACCTTGTCAATGTCTTGACTCTATTTTCCATTCATTTCACAACGTATGGTGGTGAATAAGTGTGACTTTTCAGGAAAACACAAAATTGTTTGGGTATATATATATATATATATATATATATATATATATATATATATATATATATATATATATATATATATATATATATATATATATATATATATATATATATATATATATATATAGTAGTCATGGGTAAGAGCATTAAAGCTGAAGTCTGTAAGTTTTTAAAAATCACTTTTTTGTCATATTGGCTAAAACTGTCCCTATGCCCAGACAGCAGTACATGTGATATGTAACCTGTGAAAAAAACTGCTTCAATTGGTCCCGCATACTGCCTGTATTTCAATCTGGAAAGAATAATTCGGGATGAGTCAAAACAACCAATCACAGCCAGAGGAGCGTCTGATGGAGTGTCAATCACAGCTCACACACGCTGAATTTATTTTTATTTGATTGCAGAAATCCTCTTAATCTTAATCATCTTAAGCCAAATACCAACAACCATGTTATAATAGGAAAAAGTCTGATTCTGGATGATGTCTCCTTTTAAGACACTCTTGAACTTGAGAGAAATCCCATCCCTATTCCCAATTTGTCAGATTATTCCTCGGTGGGAATATGGGAACATTCCAACAATCCTTCCAAGGAGCATTTGTCAGGTCGGGTACTGATTAGATGAAAAGGCTCTCATTCATCTCCATAGTGGTCAGATGGGTTAAAGTGAAGACTGCACTGGTACAACTGGTACAACAGACTAACGAAGGTGAAGGTGGTCAAACTGTCTGTGCGCTGAAGTCTTAAAGGTGTGTTCACACCGAAGGAGAACGACATTGAATGCAGCGACTGATTTACATTTATCCTAATGTAAACCTACAGACAGAAAATACAGGCAATAAGTCTTTCACATCACAGAGGAGAAGTTATCACCTAATATTTTTGTGTTTTATGTAAACAACATTATAAAACGTCTCACCTCAAATGGCCGCCAGAAGGTGAGGCTACAGCTTCTCAATCCTATTTACGTACAGGCTTTGTCACAGCCTCTCCATAAACGTATGACCCCCGCCAAAAAAAAAAGAAGCAAAGTCAAACGCGTGCAACTTAAATTTGAAACACAATACAAATACACATTGTGGATTAACCGATCTAATCTCAAGCATCATATGAAAAACATCACCAAGACTTCTATAATGGGGTTTTACTGGCTTTGGTAACCTAAGCACATAAGATGGAAAACGTTAACCTTTAGATGCAAAACCCCCATCATGCACTGCAACATATTTTTGCAAAATATTTGAACATAAGTTCACCAAATATAACAGGAACATTGTAGTTTGCTTTAAAGAAAGCATTTTAGTTTTATTATAATTTAGCTTGGTGCAAGGATTTTACATTTTTAAGAAATAGGGTTTTACAATTTGAAGAAATAAAAAATTACACCATATGCCAACCGTCACAAGGATGTTACTTCTCGAGATCCTTGAGTTATTTACTGTCACACGTAGGAGCTTCAGTCGGAGAGTAAATGTTGGGGCCAGTATGATTTAAGGAAAGCCAGCCCTCACACGCTGAAATTAGGACCGGCCAATCAGTCTGAGCCTTGATACCAATCTCCCCAGTTTCTTTCTCTATGTTGAACCATGAACTCTGACCTCTACTGAGGAAGGTGAGGCCTTCAGGGCTTTAGATAATCCACCTCCTGGATGAGCCTTTGATGTGCTATTAATGTAACATTCCTGGCACATTTTACCACATTCTCTATATGTGGTTCAGGGATTTCTATTTAGGGCTGGACAGTGGAGGAGTGGTACTGCTGCCTTCGAGCAAGAAGGTTCTGGGTTTGATTCCTTGACCCGGGGTCTTTCTGCATGGAGTTTGCATGTTCTCCCTGAGCATATGTGGGTTCTCTCCGGATACTCTGGCTTCCTATCACAATCCAAAAACATGACTTTTAGGTTGATTGGATTCTCTAAATTCTCCTTAGGTGTGAGTGAATGGTTGTTTGTCCTGTTTGTCTCTGTGTTGGTGACTGGCGACCCGTCCAGGGTGAACCCCGCCTCTCGCCCGTAGACAGCTGGAGATAGACACCAGCAGTCCTAGCGACCAGCTGGGACAAGCGTGATGGAAAATGTTACCCCTATTGATCAATTCAGGATGATGTCTTTAAACATCTTATAGCCAACTGAATTTTATCAGTGTTTCTGTTTTAAAGACCCATTATTAAAATCGCTGCCCTGCCTGGTGGTAGAGAAATAACTCAAATTAACTTTACAGTTCACTTCCTATCAAACTACTAGACTAGATTTTTCTCTAAAAAGAAGCAGAAAGTATATTTTTTTTTTGTCTTCCTGGTAAAAACAATGAATAATTTGCTAGAAGTCCATCATTGAAGGGAGGTTTGCTGTAAACACAGCTTTAGACATTTGGATGTTTTATGTGTTTGTCTGTTTACTCCCTCAGTCTAACTCCTCCTCTCTTCTTCTCCGCTCCTCCCTCCCGTTGCTCGCTGTGTTTGGAGACTTTTCCAAAGCCTTTCATACCTCTCCTTACTATTTCTCTCTCCACTGAGTCACACCATGCCCTGAGCCCTCCCATTACCTCTATAAATTTGTCTTTACATCCTCCATACTCCTTCAGAGTGTTTTTAATCAGTTCAGTACGTTTTATTCAGCAGAAAAGCACAGCTGAGGATGGAGAATATCTTACTTCCAGGTTTAGGAAGTGAAACGTGTGTGTGGTTGTGTGTTTAGTAAATGAGGGGGCGTGTGTAGATCTGGGATTGGTGTCCTCACAGCTTCAGCACTCAGATCATCAGTCAGCTTTTTCCTCTAAGAAGCACCACAGGTGAGTCTTTGTTTTCATATAAATTACCTGTTATCATGAGGGTAGAGCTTCACTATAATAGATTGGAAAAATTAAAGATTAAAACATTGAAACTTGCCTAAATATCAATTTCATTTTGCAAATTAGATTATAGTTTATTAACATATATAGGCTTTGATTGGGGTACAGTAGGCATGGTTTGGTTTGTTTTGTGCTGTTTACTCTTTATTTATGAAAGAAAATGTCGACTAAAAACATAAAAACTCTTGAAACAAAGGTTGTTGTTTTTTTACTTCATTTAACTCAACTAAAATCATACAGAGATCTGTTCATATCAACATGAGAAGGTGACATTTATAGAGTAATCAGTCATATTTCCTTAATCTACAAATAACTGATGAACAAAGGTTGAAAATAATTGAGAATAATGGGGATATTTTCAACTTAGGGTGATATTTTTATGCATTTCTGTGTTTGATTAGAAGCCTGTCTAAAATAAAGCTGATTTTCCTTAATGTGATTTTATAGGTTGTTGCCAGAAGCTGGATCCAGTATGGCATCTCTACTGAAGGCTGGATGGTGTTTTTTCTGCTTTCTTCTCCTCTGGGAAACAATAAAAGGTAAGAATGATGTACCCGATGGGGTAAAATGACTCTCATCAGAGGTCATTATAATTAGGTCACATCAGCGCGGATTGAACATACATCATTTTCCAAAGGTATCCATGTCTTTTACATTTTTTGTCATGTTAAAACCGTAAATCTCTATTTAGTTCAGTCTTTCTGGGTCATTTATAAGAAGAACCAACAATTTCCGCAAATACAGCCTGCAGGCATCTCAGAGGATGATTCAGATGCTTTGCACATCTAAAGACAAACATATGTACCTACACGGCACAGTTGTTTTTAATAAATAATATGGGTTTTAACTTTTAGTAAGACATTATGACAATAGGATAATCTGAATCATTTTATTGTTTTAATGCAGTCAGATTTCCTTCCTATTTGGCTTTACCTACCCTCTCATTAACTATAACAGCTTCACTTTCCCTGCCAATGAAAAGCTTCCCCACAGCATCATACTGCTACCTCTATGTTATACACACAGATTGGTAAAAAGTTTTCTATCTAAGGGAAACCAGCTGATTCACGTTCGCTTTGTCTCAAACTGCAGGATTGACTTCCTTTGGCTTTCATTCAGCTTTGCTTTCTCCATGACCAAATGAAAACCAGATTTATAGACGGTAGAGTGACAATATGCCTCCATTATGCTTTGATTACTGCTCCTGCCTGAACTGTCAGAGGGACATTGACATTTCCACAAGATGGGTTAAATAATAATCTGTGAGATGCTTTGAAATTTTTTTCTCTATGACCCAAAGCCTTATTTTCTGCTATTTGAAGCTGTCTGAATACTAATTCATGTCACTCTATAAGAACCATGTTTCATGTTAGTTTGGGATTTTTGATTACTGTTTGTACATCACATAATAAGTAATTATCTGGTTTTGCCATGATAAAAAAATTAAAATAATAAACATAAATGTGTAGGAGGGAATTATTTTTTCCTGACGCTCTGAGTGATCATTTTGCACATTTGTCTGAATCCCATCATGGTTTTTCATGTTGGCTGAAGGTGCAGAGCTGCAGTGTTCTCCTGCTGATCCGGTTGCAGCGGAGCACCCTGTTCAGGGTCTGCTGGAGAGGTTTCAGGTGAGCCAAGGCTGCGCTGCAAGAGAGCAGGGGAACAAGGAAACTCATGTCATCGCTTTGCAGCAAGCATCCAGCAGCCCTGGCAATGTGGTAACTGCTTAACAATTATGTTAAACACATAAGAATCCTGCACTGGCCTTGATAGTGTTTGAACTGGAGGTGCTAAATAAGCTAATGATCTAACTAACGTATATCTTGATAATTTTATAAAATCTTATTGCAAAGAGTATTTAGCACTTCTTCTCATACTAGGATAAACCTTATTTGGTTTCTAGGCTGGACCCCATTTTAATGAAGTTTGGATCTTCTCCTTCCTCAGCTAAAACATGCATGTTATGTTCAGTGGGAATGAAAAAAACAGACTCTGGGAACTTACATTTCACGGTTGAAATAGCCAAATCATTGGAAATAATATTATGTTTTTACTCAACGAGCGAATTAATATTTTGACAAACTATTGTGGTCAAAGGTTATTGTGTTATGACGTTATTTCACATTGTGGGAGAAATTCAGCGAACTCCAGCCCCTAAAAACTATAGATATGTTGAGGAGAAATTGTAACAGTACTAAAAAAAATTCTATTTATGAAAAAAAAGAAGAAATAAATAATAAAAATGGGAGAAACATGTAAAAAAAAAACTAGCCGATGTTCATTCTATGAATATGCTTTGTCAGCATTTCCTTAAAAACAGCCTTAAATTATTACTTATATAGAAACATTTACACTGGGGAATTTAACACAAGTGAACTACATTTACATTTTATGGCCATTTGAAGCCAATTGGAGAATCTGAAATATATTTAGGGGCACCTGAGTAAAGGCTACCTAATATGAATGTGAGCCATGATTTGTAAATTAGTGAAACTCTAAGGTTTTTGTATTATCTTCATAGCACCTTCCACAGATACAACCATCACAATAATTGATAAAATTAACTATGTTAACATCTAATTAAGAAAACGCCTGTCTAAATAAGTATGTTTTGAGGTTTGTTGTCTGTTTTTAAGAGTCAGTAGATGCTATGGAGTGAAGAGAAAATGGAAGGAAGCTTGAAGCTTCAGCTACACGTCTTTAAACGAGCCCAGGGAACCATCTGCAGCCTCAGATTGGACAATCTAAGAAACCAGGAAAAAACAGGGCCTTATCTCATGTATATAGCACCAATTTACAACACGTGTCATCTAAAGGCAATGTATAAAATAAATTAAATCAAATCATACAGTCAGATGAGTTACAAGTTTTCTGAGGAGACCCTGCTGATTGCATTATGTCATCAACATTGCAGGATTCTGTCTAAGAAAGAACCAGTTAAGCAGACCAGCTCTAAGGCAGTTTTCCTGGCAATGTAGGAGAGAAAAAGGACTAAACACCGAAAAAGTGTAATGTCTCAATACAGAATTGCATCAGCTAAACTGAGTTCCAGGCCAGATTAGCAAAGATCAATATATCGGGGAAAAGCAGAGAGAACATAAAGGTATGGGTTGAACTAACAAATGTTGCAAAACTGGATAATGGAATTTGAATTAAGTGGAATGATGGAAAGTGATCCCTATGCCCTCGATCAGATTAAGCTCATAGCAGCCTAACTGAAGCTATAGCTTAGGGTAACATGAGCCACTCTATCAGTTTTATCAAAAAGGAACATTTTAAGCCTAGTCTTAAAAGTAGGCAGGGAGTATAAAGCTGTATAATTGGATCCCTGGAAAAGAGGTCTGATAACAAAAAGATCTGCCTCCCGTTCTGTTTTTAGAACCTTTAGAAGCTACTACTTTGGTAAAAGAAGAAAAAAATTATTCTTTGTGTTTCTTAGGTGATAAAAACAGTTTCCAAAAATGTGCATACAGTGAGCCTCAAGAGATAAAGCGTTGTCTAATCCAAAGTTTTGACAAAAGTAGATAAAAAGGTTACATGCTACCTAACAACTAGAAATGTTTTTAATGGGAGAAATCATCATCGTCTTTGTCTTACGACATAGACTCAATTTTATTTATCCCTTGGGATCACTCCTTCAGGGAAATTCTGGTTCCAGTAGCTTATATAGAGTACAAAGAGTTAAAGCAAGATGCAATTAAAGATAAAAATTAAAATTCAACAGACAATATAAAAAAAAAAGAAAAAAGCTGTAATGTCCTGGAATATGTTTCACTTTGGTATAAAAAAAAATTCTGCCCAGTAGAGAGTTAAGGAAAGACTACACAGAAGTTGACTTGGATTATTGCACTTGTACTGCAGAGATGTACTGACCTTATAAATAAATAAAAAATTACACAGGCTACACAGTAGTTGGCATGTGTTATTCCACAGTGAGAGAGAAGAATATTGCACAAGTGACAATAGGTAATGTTTTGCATGTCTTCTTGTCGTTAATCTGCAGACACTCTTTGATGACCCACAGTTTAACTTTTAATAAACTGACAGACCTGCCACATTTTTAAAGCATATAAAGATTCTAGGTAAATCTAGAGATACAATAACAAGAGGACTGGGCCTAAATCAGACCCCTGAGGAATTCCTCATGACAAAGTGGCTAAGTCTAAGTTCAAGCAGTATTAAAGACTCTTCCAAAACTTTATAAACACATTAGAGCATTGTTTTGTCAATCATCCACATCTTTTTTTCCTGTCCGTAGGTGCTGGTGTTCCTTAAACCCCCCTCCAGCGTTCCTCTCAGGGCGCTCCATCTGGTGCTCAGCTCCATGCATCCAATCACATGGTCGCTGAAGGCTGAGCTGCTGCCCCAAAACCTCCCAGTATTTGTGCAGGTCAGTCAGAGTGTGTAGTAGAGAGATTGTGGACAGAAAGTCCTTGTTTAAAAGTGCCATCTTTGATCTGCTAGGTGTCTCCAAAATCCAGTGTCCGGTCACAGACTCTACACTTGTGTGCTCAAACGGTTCCTTCATTACCTTTTCGCCTCCGCAAACTGTATCACTGGGCTCTGAAGCACCACGGTAACCTCTCCTCACTGATCCATACGACGCAAGCCAATCGGGTCTATATCCAACTGGGGGAAGGTGAGCCTCTGAGAAACAACACTACAGAAAGATTGTTGAACTTAGGTGTTGTTTTTACTTCCATAGTCATGGGTGTTTAAATCCTAATATACTTTATAGCCATGCAGATCACTTAAATAAGCATTTTTTAAGGAATGAGTTACTTTATAGAGTTCAGCAAATTCATTTAATCACTATGTAAGCTTTTTGTTCTTGATGTGTAGAACCCTAAAACAGGCAAGATGGCAGAAAAATGAAACTAATTTATTGTCTGACACTAAAGGTTACATATAAAACAAAATGGATGAATAACAAAGAATACGTCAGCTGTCCTGGCCTAATGGGAGTGGCTGCTTAGGTAATACAGTGTCCACAAGGAAGGTCTGAAGGGCAAACATTAGCAAATATAAAGACATATTCCGTCTAGTGACTGGATAATTGATTAAAAATGTGCGAAAATCGGGCCGTGGAGCCCTTCTATTATAACTGAAACTGAAGCTAGTAGTGTCATAAATGTGACAATGTCAACCTCCTGCATAAGTTCAATTGTCCATCAGGTGATGAGAAACAAAATGACGCATAGTTCTGTTTTTTTAATTGTTGGCTAAACTTAAAATCTGAGAAGTCAGCTTTCTAATATTAATTAATTCCAGCTGACTTATCAAGAGAGGTGGGCAATATAGTGTTTAGACATCATTATCAGAGATATGTTTTCTAAAATGTTTACGGCTCTAATGCTTGAGTCACAGCATTACTTTGGTCTATTGTTCTTGACTAAATGAAAAGCATGGAAAATCTCCCAGAAATGACAGATGAGAGAAATGTACCATCACCTGCTATGGCTCCTATGAAGAACAACAGCAAATGATAGCTGCTCATGCTTTTTAGGCTAACAAACAATCTAGTTGTCTCTACCGGGAGGACAGAGTAGTTACCTGATGGCACAGTCCTGTGTCTAACATAATGCAAATATAAAACTTCACTCTTATTCTGAATTGAATGACATGTCCAGCAGAAATCCTGCATCTCAGCATCCTTTTAGAAACCCCACCTAGTAAAAACTACACTGAAGTAGACTCTTGTCTTCTCCTGGTTATTGCTTCTTTTTCTTTTCTTGGTTACTTTCTCTTCCCTCTCAATGAGCAAAGACTTTGGATCTACCATTTGTACTTTGACCAATCAGCACAGAAAGTTCTGCTGAATGTCCCTCCTCTCCCCAAATGGATTTTATGAGAGCCGACCCAGATTTATAGCGTGTAGAACTAAACCAAGAGTGCTACACCTGATCAATCTTAATTTCTAAGTTAAAGAGAGGATTATAATTGTCCTAAATTGGTGAATGCTGAGCTTAAACGTTTGAGTTGTTTGGAAAGAGGGGAGAAAAAAAACTAACAAAAAACTGGCAGGAGAATGAAAATTAAATGAAAAAGGAACAAATAAGTAAAACAATAATAACCTGAATGTGAATAAACCCTTAACCGATCCATAATGCAAAAAACAACAGAAACCTAACCACCAATGGGATGAAATAAATCCAAAATCTGTTACCTTTTAATGCCGAAGTAAAAGTGACTGGAAACAACAGCAACTCAGGCGAAAATGTGGGAAATAGGAGACAGAGAAGCCCACTGTGCAGATTCCACCTACTTTCTGCAGAATCAATAGCTGCAGACCTTCAAACCTCAGGCTTAGAGAGACGAGCTTAATTATAAAACATGCAGAGCTTCATGGAATGGGTTTGAATGGCTGTATCACCAAGCATGATGCTAAGTATGGGATGCAGTAGAGTGAACACAAAGAGCCACAAGGCTCTTAAGCAGTGGGTCAACATTAAAGCTTATGTAGAATGAAAATTCATTAAAGTTCATGCGAGAGCTTTGGCTTTGCCGTCATTTCCTCTCTTTTTCAAGAAAAGATTAAACTCTGCTGTAGCTGGAGGCCAGAGAGAGGTTGAGAAACACAGTGAAATTATCCTCCATTTAAAATCATCTCTTCTTTTCACAGATCCGTCCCTTCCTGATGTGTGCCAGCTTCAGTCCTTATCCCTCTTTCCTAATTACATGACCTCTGACTTGCAGCCACAAAAAGTGAAGGGCTGCACCCATCCCAGAGGAAGAGAGGCTACCCCTGAAGTCCATGTGATAAAGCTCCATTCAGCAGGCTCAGCGCTAAGTGGGTGAGACAGTGATTCCTCTGCAGGCCCTGATTTAAGGTTAGACAGTGTACCGCTTAGAAAAGGAGACATTATACATCTCTTTTATGATCTCCCTCAGCTCTCTGCAGGTGGAGGTAAAGGTCACTCTTTTGCCTCCGGCGGCCCCTTCAGAACCGCACCAGGTTGTTCTGATTCTTAGCAGCTTGGTCCCGGTCAACTGGGAGATTACAGCTCCTGCTGTTTGGGGTCACATCACTGTTCATGTAAGGATCAATTATCTTCTTTAGGTGTGTGAAACTAATGGCAAATTGTATTTCTTTGCTGTTCCTTTTGCCTGTTCAGAAATAAGGCTTGCTGCTGATTCGAAATACATCATCTTGTAACACCAAGCTTCAGTATGAAATCAGGACTCTGCCAAAAGTGCATTAGGCACAACAAGAACTTATACGAGCAGTTTTATTTAAAACACATGCATGCAAACTGCTCTGCACATGCATTTAGTCACTTTCAGGGTGTAACCAACCAAAGATTGCCTGTGATTGGCTACTTTTCAGGTAATTCTCCTTTTGAGACACCACAGGTTTCCTCCCATTTGTGGCGAGTTACATTAGCAAAGCATCTTTAGCCTAATCATTGTTTCATAAAGAGTTAAGAATCGGTCAATTGAAGTCATCCTTAAAATACTTAGTTTAATACTGTCATGAATATTTTCTGAAAGCAGCAACAATATGCTGTACAATAAGAAATGTTACGTTTGGAGCTTTGCATGTGCTTAGCTAATGTTTATATTTAGGCTGCAGTTTAGGCTTGAATTACCTCTTGTTTATTGTTGAACACAGAAAATTATATTTCTAATCAGTTACCATGTATCCTAGGTCCAACACACCTAATTAAATGGCCGAATGACCTTCTCCGCATGTAGTGAATTTCTCCAGAATCCTGCCAATCATCTAATTGCTTAAACGCAGAGTGGAAGACCTGCAGTGCTGCTATTCATGGATCTCAGTGCAGCGTTTTAAACTGTTGATCACTTGATTTTAAATGGAGAATCTGGAAAACTTTGGCCTTTCTGGTACTGCACTGGACTGGTTTAAGTCCTTCTTGAAAGATAAGGGACCTCTATGCGTAAGTAAGGAACTTAAAATCAGAGACCAGAAAAATCACATGTGGGGTTCCACAAGGCTCCATTTTGGGGTCCTTCCTGTTAAAAATCTACATACCATAGCTATGCAGACGACACACAGCTTTACATAATTTCACCAGGTGACTATGAACCCATCAGAGCATTTTCTACATCCTTAGAACAGATCAATATGAGGAGGCACCAACAGAACTGAGGTAATAATTTTCGGACCAAAGGAGGAGAGATACAGAGTTAGCTGAGCTTCAGTTATTACAGCTAGAAACCATTGATTATGGCCTAAATCATGGTGTCATGATGGACTCAGACCAGAACCTTCAGATGCTCATAAAGGCGTTACTAAGTCAGCCTTTGATCACCTGAAGAACATTTCCAGCATTAAAGGACTAATGTCCAAGTAGGAAAACTCGTTCATGCATTTATCTTTAGTAGAATTGATTACTGCAAGAGTCTCATAGGTTTGCCTAAAAAGTCAGTTTTTCTACATGAATTAAATGGACTACTTAGGTGAGTGGTGGCCTAGTGGTTAGGGCATAGACCTTGGAATCCTGAGGTTCTGAGTTCAACCCCACTCCTATAGACTGCCACTCTGGGTCCGTGAGCAAAGGCCCTTAACCCCATACAGCTCCCCAGGCACCCCACGATGGCATTTACCCCTTAGGGACGGGTTAAATGCAGAAAGTGACTTTCTTTAGCGTGAGATCAATAAAGTTCAATTATTATTATTACTTGAAATAAAATCTAAGATGACATTAGTTGTAACAATGACACTATTTAAAACATTGAACTAAATTAAATAAACTACTAATAATCGACCTCTCTTTAAAAATAATCAAAATACAGTGTTTTCCAGTCTAATGTGTTTATTATGTAACCCTTAAATTCCAAATCTTTCCTTCTTTCCAGTCCTCCAACAGCGTCTCTCCACCATTTCCACCGGAGCCTAACCTAACCCTGTCCAGCAGGCTTGTGTCTGACCTGTCCACAGTCTCTAATCCTCTGATGTGGGCCTCTGAGAGCGGCTACACTAGGTCTTACACCGAGGCTGACCTGGCCAATCGCTTTGTGATCCAGCTGGCAAAAGATGGGACAGGTAAAACTTTTCCACCTCTCAAGTTACTGTTGAAGATACTAAAATCTTATATTATCATTTAACACTTAAGACTTTTTCATGCATTTTTAACCCAGGTTTGACGAAATGAACACTTTGCATTTAACCCAACCCCCTTAGAGAGCAGTGGGCTGCGACTGTGTGGCACCCAGGGAGCAGTGCAGGGTTAAGGGTCTTGCTCAGGGACCCAGAGTGGCAGTCCGTAGGAGTCGGGGTCAAACTCAGAACCTCTGGATTCCAAGCACAATGCTCTAAACACTAGGCCTCCACTCCCCAAAGCAGGCATTAGCATGAAGGATCTTGCCTATGTGGTGGGATGGTGTTCCACCCTCCCAACTACACACACCAGGTGTAGTGACTGATTGGGGGGCGGGGCAGATAGCTTTAAAGCTGAGCAGTCCGCTGCGAGGTGCGTGTGCTCAGGCGGAGGTCGTGGGAGGAACGTTGGTCGTTTGGTGCATGGCGCGTGTTTTGAAGCTGCTCTGCTTGTGGAGAAATGTCCTGGGCCGTGAGTAGTGAGGAAACAGGAAGCGATTCTTGTGGGATGGAAGAGGGAAATAGTGACAATGAAGGTTGGAAGATAGCAGCATCAAAAAATGAGAAAAAGCGGAAAAAACAGAGATCAGTTAAAGGGGAATCTAGTTCAGAACAATCCAGTGATGATCAATCCATACATTCCACAGCACAACAAAATGAATTCAAAGTCATATTCAAAGTCGTTAATCAGGCAGACTCTTTTACAAACTGGAATCCGGTTCACTTAACAAAAACCATCAATAAACTTGTTGGAGAAGTCAGAGGTGCCAGAATTCTGTACAGTGGAGACCTGCTAATTAACTGCAGAGACAGCGCCCAGCAAGGCAAAGCAATACGTATTAACAAAATTGACGGGATAAGAGTTCAGTGCAGCCTAATGGAGAACAAAAAGATCAGCAGGGGAGTCATTGGAGGAGTTCCTCTGAAAATTTCTGAAAAAGAGATTCTGGAAAACATAAGCGGTGCAAAAGTAAAAGAAGTAAAACGGTTAAAAACAACAAGAAACGGAGAAAGATCTGACAGTTTATCTGTACTAATTAAATTCGAGGAAGAGCAATTACCAAGCAAAGTATTCATCGGTTACATCAGTTACAATGTCAAAATCTACAATCCACCACCATTGAGATGTTTCAAATGTCAAAAATTCGGACACATTGCAGCAGTTTGTAAAGGGAAACAGAGGTGTGGAAGGTGTGCAGGAGAACATGAATATGGTAAATGTGGAAAAGAAGCTAAAATAAAATGCTGTAATTGTGGTGGAGAACATACTGCTGCTTATCGCGGCTGTGAAGCAAGCAAAAGGTCTGAAGAAATAAAAAAAATGAAATTTGAGCTTGGAATAACTTATGCTGAAGCTGCAAAAAGGATCCCATCTCAGTCAGAAAAACCCAAACCTACAGTTCAACACACGGCAAATTTCAAACCTCTAGAGAAATCTCCAAAAATTGATGAAGACTCACTAATTGTTAAAAAGACAAATTTTGTTCTTTTCATGGTGGAAGTGATTAATTGTACTGCTCAGACGACAAAAAAAACAGAAAAAATCAAAATAATAGTGAAGGCTGCAGAAAAATATCTGGATGTTAAAGATATGAACTGGGAGATGGTTGGAAGCATGATGGAAAGACCAATGGGACCATCAGAAACTGGCAGAGGTACGATGACCTAGAGTAAATTAAAATTATACGGGCAAATGTAATTTAGTATAATTTAGTATTATGTGGGTTTAAGTTACACAGGTTATTTTATTGTATTTTTTTTTTTTTTTTTTTTTTTTTTTTTTTTTTTTTTGGGGGGGGTGAATCGTTTCCTGTTTCCTTGCTTTACTCCATATCAGTTGGTGGCGGTAATGCACATTTCACAAGTTTGCCAACCGCCATAAAATCTCATAAGAAGAAGAAGAAGAAGAGGTGCGTGTGCTTTGTTTCCTTACCGTGTGTCGGCTGCCCAAGTGGCTGGTGTGCTCGATCCACTCATCCAAAATAGTAAGTGCCATTTTGCCATCTGGGCTGGGGATTGTTGTCGGGTTCTGGTGCAATACCTGCCGTGCATTTCTGCAGCGTTGCGCGGCTGGCATTGGCGGCTGCAGTTGGAGGTTGGTGCGGCGAGCGGCTTCCGTCCGGCCCTCGCCTGCTGATCCGCTCCCTCCCTGGTCGGCTGTGTCACCACATCTGGGTAAGCTACCGGTTTAGAATTTAATTTACTCTTACCTGAATCCACCGTTAACGAGTTTTCTAATTTAGGATTCTTCCGGAGTTGCAGCGCTTGGACGCTCCTGCTGTCTTGTCTGTCTTGCCGGTTTTGTTTGGGCCGCTCTCGGCGGAGCCTGCTGACGCTTGGGCTGGTGGAACGAGCGGGGCACGACTCCTCTGGCCCCGTGAAAAGACATTAGAAGTCGGACAACGACAGTTTGTCCCATCGTTTGCAGTGGTTGTGTTCTTTTCTTTGCCGTTTGTTTGCTTATTATTTAAATTACTAATTTGTTTGCTTTCCTTTGTTTTGATTTACTAATTTGTTTTCTTTTGCATTGCATGATTTGTTTGTTCATTCACTTTTTTTGGGAATAATTTAAATTGTCCTCTTTTTTTGATGCCTTTTCCTTCTAGGGGCTGAGTAGTGGGCCCGAGGCCATGTTTTAAAAGGAAAATGTTTTAATGAAATTTGTTAATAAATCATTGGAGACTACTCCGTGCTCTGGTGCGTCTTGCCTAAAAAGATCTACCTCCTCTACTGGTCACACCTATACACTTATAAATACACAATAACAAATTGAGGTGGGATGAAAACTTTTCAAAATGTTTTGAGTTATAAATGTACAAAATCAATTGCTGCAGTATGTTGGAATGCAACTATTTTTGTTAAATATGTTAAAGTAACTAAATATAATTCAATAGATGCCAAAAACCGTTGCATTTCCACTCACCTCCGAAGATTCAAAAAGAAGAGTCTCTGTCTCTCAGCCTGGTTAACATCTTTTTAAAACAAACTTGTTTTTATAAAGTGAAGTGACCCACAATAGATAAAGTAGTCAGACGTTTTTCCTGAGTAGTAATGCTTTATCATTTTAGTACTCAAGGAAAAGTTAAAAGTACGAGGCTCTAAAACAGGGGTAGGCAGTTCCGGTTCCTGAGGGCCGATATCTTGCAACTTTTATATTAATCTTTAGTCCAACACACCTGAATCAAATAGCTGATTTACCTCTTCAATGTACAGTTAGTGAATCAGGTGTGTTGGACCAAAGACACAAAGCTGTAGGTTACCGACCTTCAGGAACTGGAATTGCTCTATAACCATCATTTGTTTTTGTATTCTTTACTCAAGTAAATTTAACTGAGTAAATATAACTAGTTATTTCCAGGGCTGACCCTCTCTAAGCGCAGAGCTCTTGTTGTGCCCAGGGACAAATTTTAGCGCATATGCGCTATAGGGTGAGAGAAAAAAGAGACCAGCTGTAATCTCACCGTGCAATAATTGTCAGCACTCGACATCTAATCAGTCAGATGGTGGGTGAGGGTGCAGGCAGACTCTCTCTTGCAGAGCTACATGAAATTTATTTTTCTTTTTTTATTAGTACTTACAAATTATTCAAAAAATCTATATCAAATTACAGATCAAGAAATAGGAATACGTTCAGGCTTAAGACAGACAAGAACACACAAGGACCAATAGAAAGGGAAAGACCTACAACTTCTTGGGCAGAGTACATTATAAACTTATTACAGATAAACAGTCTTAAACACTTATATAGGTTCAGTAGTTCAAGGAAGACATGTAAAAATTTTGGTAAAAAATACATTAAACCTGAGTTTTAACTTAGAAAAGGTGCGAATATGTAATTTTGCTATGAATAAAACTAGGTTTATGGCAAAGACTTTCCTTTTAGGGGTGTTCAAACAGCAAAAGCCACATAATATGCTTCTAAAGTTTTTTTTTCAAACACAAAAATGTATCTTACCAAAAATATTTCAGTATATGAACACTCCCAGAAACACATGATGGATGGTTTCCTCAGAGATGTGGCAAAACAAACCATGGAGGTATTTATCTGGATTTATCAGTTCTTAAGTTTTTTTGGCAATAACCAAACATGTTTTCCAGCAGAAGTCACTAAGTATCCCAGAAGAAAGTAGAAACTTGTTTACTTATGTGGTCTCTTATTATAAGTATCCTAATAGTTTTTTTGTCCGTTTTTTTACTTAAAAATTTGTGAAAGTAACTGTTCTGTTAAGTGGTCGATATGTTGTTGATCAGAGGTCGACATTTAAATTTTTACACCTGAAAGAATGGCATCCAACATAGGGTTAGGGTTAGATATTCTTTAGGCAATACTGGAAAGTTATACTAGTATTACCTTCTATGTTGAAGAGCTGATGTACTTAAATAATGCCTTTTTAGAACAATTTTTTAAGAGAGACGGATTTGTGTTTAAACCAGATATCTTTGTTATTCCTTATAAGGCGTTTATGTGTGGAGAGAAGTTATGTTTATCGGATTAATAATCACAGTCAAAATTAGAGAGCATAATTCGAATTATTTCAATACTCTAATTAATCCTTAAAATAAAGACTAACCCGACTTATTATTCAATAAAGTTCCAAATTAATTTTAAAGGAGGGAATAATTTTGGTTTTTTGATAAGATTAACCTTTTTTCTTCTATCTATAATCAAATAGTATCCTGTCTAGTTTTGTGCTGATTTCTTTGGAAACAAGATATATATATATATATATATATATATATATATATATATATATATATATATATATATATATAAATAGCCTGTTGTTATATAGTCGTATTGTGTATATGATACAGTTAGGACGGGGAGAGGTGTGAGGTTGTGGGTTGGGGGAGGCAAAAATAACATTTTGCTTAGGTGACCAATTTGGTTACTACCCAGCTCTGTATAAACTGTACTGAGAAGCTCTAGGTCTGGAGTTTAATCCACCGGAGAAGAAAGGTTAACTGGAAAAGAACCACAGAGTTGGTGAAAATAAAACAGAAACTAAAAGCAAACTTTAGAGTTGTTTAAGGTTTCTTTTTTTCCTGATATTCTCCACCTCTTAGATAACAGGGTGAGTTATTGAGAGAAGCAGATGCATTCCTAGCATGTATATCTGCAAATTAGAGACTGTTGAGTTTTTCTTTTTGACCACCTCCGCAGTAATCACTCTAAAATTTGCTTTGGCCTCCATTTAGTTCAGAACGTTTTTGAGACTCCTGGATGTCAGGACCAGACTGCTGTCATCCTTCCATGCAACGTGGAAATTTCCCTCAAGTTGCTTTGCAGTTAAGGAGACTTGACCAGTTTTGCTTCTTTCTCAAACAAAGCTTAATCTACATCTAAAAGAAGGTCACACATTATAGAAACTAAAGGGAACTAAAATGTAATTATATGTAACTATTCCAACTATTTTCTGTCAAGTGAGGGGTGGAGGTTTGACAGGACCCGAATGCAGACACAAAAAGCTGAGGTGGTTTTGTGAATATTTATTTAACCAAAAAAATTAAACAGAAGCAAAAATCCAAAACCATAAATCCACAAAAATCGAAATGCTGAAAACCAGGAATACTCACAACAAAAAAAAGAAATGACAACAAACCAGCAAAGAGTGACTGAACAGGAGGCGGATATATGGGAGAGAGAAACAAAGGCTGCGTTCACACTGCAGGCCTTGATGCTCAATTCCGATTTTTTTTGTGAAATGCGATGTTTTTGTGTTGCCTTTGAAATTTCCAAATATATGCGACATTTATGTGTCTGTATATATATGTATATTTTTCCTGTGTGAATTGTAGTCATACAACACAAGTGTCCCGCATGCACAGTAGAGGACGCGATAACGTCACAGGCCAGCATGCTCCATGTTTATGGAAGTAAACATGGATGCTAGTGCCGGCGCGCTTCTAGCGGTCTTTTCCAACCATAAAAACATTCTTTTCAATAAGTTTAAACATAAATACTGCTCACCTGCCATGGTTGTTGTTTTTCTTGCCGCTTCTGCATAGCAAGACGCAGAATAGTGACCTTTGTCGGGTATTAATGACATTCAGATCGGATTCATCCGACCTGGCCGTTCACACACAGGTCGTACTTGAAAAGATCAGATTCGGATCAGATTCAGGACCACATAGCCAAGTGGCCTGGGTCGGACTGGAAAAAATCGGATCTGTGTTGTTCAGACTGTCATGAAAAGATTAGATCTAGGTCGCATATGGGCAAAAATGTGGGCGTATGGGCGTTTCAGTACATTTATTATTAGAGATGGATGTTTGAACGGCCTTTTTTCTTGATTGATTGATTGATTGATTGATTGATTGATTTACTTTATTGATCTCACAGTGGAGAAATTTACTTGATGTCTTCCCTCTGCTTCAGGCCAAGAGAGATTACCTGTGGTGAACTGTGAGGGCGGTCTGCTCAGTGTCACCGTGGATCTACAAAAACTAAAGGTCTTCAAACCAAAAGATTTTTTGATTATTCCAAGGAATGTTAGATATTAATAACGAGAGGACGTCTGTTCTATTTAGATGTTATGACTTCATGATTTTCATGGTCAAACAGTTCAATCTGCACACATATAGAATAAATTCACGACATCCAGTTCAACAATGATTTATGACCAAAAATCATTTAACTTCAGGTAAAAAAAAATGTAAGTTAAGACTATTGACAAAACTAATAAACTAATCAGCTTTGATGTTAACATAGACGGAGAGCCAAATGAAAATGGTTGAAAAGCATAATCAGTAAAATGATGCAATGATATTACTTTTCAGCACTGATATAAAGCTGAAGAACCAAAGTTTATTTGGCATAGTGTGAAATTAGGTCAAATTTACTTACTCCATATCCCCAACTTTCCTGACGAACATTAAAACTCAGCTCCATTCCACTTATCTATGTGTAAAAATACGATGGTGATAAAAATCCAGTCCGGGTTTTCAACACAGCTTTAGTGCTAACACCCGAGGACATGCCAGGTTTACACCCAGTCCATATTTTTGCACCAGCCCACCTATTCACTGTATCAGATATTAAAAAAATACCCGTATTTCTGAGCAGTTTTTTTCTTTATTTTATCTGGACTAAGAGAATTCCCCTTGTAAATTAATTAAGATTTTAAGCAATCTAGTACTTGAGTAAATATGAAGAAAATATACAGCAGCTAGCCTAAACTATCATTTTTTTTCTGCTTTTTTAGCACACTTAACCCCTTGTTTACTCTAATTAAGCCACCTGATTTAGTCCCAGTTTTCGTTTCCGTAATCCAGTAGTAACTGATTAGTTCCCCATTGGTTATTTTATTGAACTGCATAGAATTCCTAGTTTATAGTATATTTAAGATGCAGGTATTTTAGTAGGGCCCATTCTTCCTTACTTCAATTCTCTAAAAATCACCATTAATTGACTTGGCTTTATTCGGTCCATGGAGGCACCAAGTATTAGTATTTGCCATTACATAATCACATAAACTATTGATAAATCAGAAAGATCAAATAAAAATTCAAAGCTAAAATGTATGTTCAAAATGTTTGTATGTATGGAAATCATCAGACAATTTTATAATGATTTGGATAAACATGGGTTCTCTTCTTCAGAGCTTGTCTTTGCCAGCTGCTGCCATGACGCTGCGGGATCAGGCATGCCAGGCTGTGTCCAACGGGAGTCATTTCCTGTTGGCACTACCCGTCATTTTCTGTGGAACCGAGGGTGAGCTGCAGAAAGAGCCCAGAGGAGTGCTGTACAAAAATATGGTGAGAATTTCTAACACAGCGCTAAACATGAAGAGAAATAAATTTATAGACATTTGTTATCCTAGACGCTTCTATTTGGTAAAAAAATGTAAGACTTTATTTTTTATATAGGCAAAGCTGGTTAAGACATAACCAGAAAGGGTACTTCACTTTTGTGATTTAAATTTGTAAAAATTATTTTAAAAAGCAATTTTTTTCTTCCTCTTTATGAATACCATTCATCTGTTTTGGTTTATCACATCAAATCTGCACAAACTGAATAACATTGGTAGATATTGTTGGGTTCAAAAATGTAGGTTTGTAAAAGAAGAACTGAAATACAAAGTAAGGGATTTTCATACAGCTCCTGCAGGAGGAGAGACAGTTGCACCCCAGACTCAAACACTCTGTCTCTACCCAGACCTCCTCTGCAGAGCGTTTTAATAACAGAACATAACACATGGTTACAAATAGAGTATTGTTCTGACAGAACAATTGATCAGTTCATAAAGACAGGATGCTCTACTGGCTGTAATCACAAGGCAGAGCTCTCCTCTTGACTGAATCACAAGATAGAGTGGTCTCCTGATTGAATCATGAGACAGAGTGAAGTATCAAATTTCTACAATGTTTCATATAAACACACATTAATTTTATAATCATCATTGAATAAACCTAACAGATATAACAGATGGTATCGGTATCGGCAAATACTGCACAGCCAGGTATTGGTATCGGTATTGGGGCCAAAAAATGGCATCTGCGCAACACTAGTTTGAACCCTTTGAAGTGATGCTATAGATATGCATAGTGTGACTATTGACCAAAATAGTAATTCTGAAAATAAATAGACTTAAACTTTAAATCTTTGTGTTGTGATGCTGTGTATTCTCCTGTTTTCTGTGTGTTAGCTGTTACTGTGGAGGGACAGGCCTCAGAGCATCTCTGCACATGGAAAGAATGGGAAGCTCAGACCTCCCTTCAGTTTGCATGTGAGATCTCATCCATTGTTCTGCCCTGCCAACGTTTTTACACCACTAGAGCTTTTCTGCATTTTGTGTCTTTCTTTGGTATTTTTTTTATGAACAGACACAAATTCTAATGTAAACAGTTTTTTAATGTTTTTAAAGTAGACAATTTGAAAGGTGGTGTGCATCTATTTTTAGATGCACACCACCTGAGCTGCTATTAGTTTAAAGGGCAGATTATACTTCTGCAAACGCACACATCTAATGTCGCTCAGGTCTGGTCGCGAACCAATTTTGCTGGTTTGCTTCTGCACCGTCTTTCTGGAATTCCTAGAGACGCACAGCAGTTTCCCGCTAAAGCGCAAGGGGGAGCCTATTCGAGAACTTCAGCGCATTGTTCTTCTGAACCTCCTCGATTAACCGTTCGTCGTAGTTGTCCATTGTTGTTGTTCCTCGATTTTTAAAAATGCCGCGCCCCGGCATAGAATCGAGAAGGACGACCACACAGACAGTCGGAAAGGCATACCAAGGACCAATCACAGCTGCTTTTTGCCTGCACTTGAGGAAGACAGAGACAGAATTGACAGTTGCAGAGGCTATGCATCAGAAGTAAGACATCACGTAACTAGATTTATTGCCTAGTTTTGCTTTTAACACACCTGATGGTCTTCATTTTGAATGGTTAATGGGAAGAGAGGTGAGGAAAAAAATGGAACTGACCCTTCTGGTTCGAACCACTCATTGAGATAGTTTTGTCACAATTTCCCATAGGTGAACCCGATATTCAGCCAGACACAGAGTTACGTATGAAGAATTTACTGAAGGAGTGAATAATGGCAGATGAAGCAGGCAAAACAGTTACTGACTTGGCAGAGGTTGACTGCGCAGGGGTGAGCAGGGATCCAAAAGGAGAACCACCAGACTAGACAAGTGGGCAGCTTAGATTCACCGCGGAACAGGTAGCACAGGAGCATAGAGAGAAAGGCAACCTCAGCTAGAAGAGTTCAGCTGGCAGGGCACATAGGAACCAGTAGTGACGGAAACAGGCATAAGTGCAGCATACAGACACAGGCAGCCTTAGCAGGAGAGAGTGAGACGTTCTGACGGAGATGAGTAGACAGAGGCAGGTATAAGTACGCTGGTGAACAGGTGAGCTGAGTACTAATTAGTGGGAACAGGTAATCTAGAGTGGGGTGGTGGCCTGAGGCAGAATTGGCTGTTGTGATAATTGCTGGTGGCTGAATAGTGACAGGCTGAACAGAAAAAGTCTATAAGTCCAAATCCAAACTAAACAGAACCATAACTATGGCAAGTTTGGGTCACAGACGGCAACAGTCTCATTCAGCTCAGTTTAAGCATCAAAACACACTGACGTTAAAGGAATAGTACACCCAAAACATGATTAGCCTTCATTTTCTACTCACCCCCATTCTGAACAACACTCTGGAGTACTTTTTTGATATCTCAAATGCATCTGGAGATCTGGGAGGCTTCTTGCTGTCTGCTGACATTCAAATAATGGAGGTCTATGGTGACCGAGACAGAAAGGTCCATAAAAGTCCACAAAAAACGTGTCAATATTCCTCCATACTGCTCGTCCAATGTATTCCAAGTGTCCTGAGTGGGTAGCATCCAGAATTTACTCAAAACGAAGTCATTTAGAATGTTTTTAGAGCATAAACAGTAGTGTATAGGATTTCCTGAAAGCGCGCACATGCGCGCTCACTACACTACGGAAGCCGGCAGACCAAACCAGATGAAAGTGCGCATTCAGCGTCTGCTCTGCCAATAATGCAAGCGTAGAAGAAGAAATGTGCTGTTTACCTGTGCAAAGAAAGAAACAACGAAAGAAAAATGTCTGAGGACTTCAGTGTTGAGGAAGAGCATGAGTTCTTTGCCGAGCTGAATGCGCTGGTTTGGTCTGCCGGCTTCCGTAGCGTCGTGAGCGTGCATGTGCGCGCTTTCAGGAAATCCTATACACTACTGTTTATGCTCTAAAAACATTCTAAATGACTTCGTTTCGAGTAAATTCTGGATGCTACTCACTGAGGACACTTGGAATACATTGGACGAGCAGTATGGAGGAATATTGACACGTTTTTTGTGGACTTTTATGGACCTTTCTGCCTCGGGCGCCATAGACCTCCATTATTTCAATGTCAGCAGACAGCAAGAAGCCTCCCAGATCTCCAGATGCATTTGAGATATCAAAAAAGTACTCCAGAGTGTTGTTCAGCATGGGGGTGAGTAGAAAATGAAGGCTAATCATGTTTTGGGTGTAGTATTCCTTTAATGAAACTCAATTTGTTTTATTGTTATCTAATTTTCTCACCCAGAATAAACTTCCAGCTGATGAAGAGCTCATTCTGAGGGGAAAGTTTGATGAATTACTGATTTAAATGTCTTTGGTTCCTAGCAGCTTGAATTAGACAACCCGTATGAGTAATGCTGTTGGTACATTTTGTTAGATTTAAACTGAATTTAGATTACCAAAAAAAAAAATTGACTTGTTTACAGATTAAACAACTTTTGAGGGAAAGTATTATGAAAACATTTGATTTGGTTGTTAAAATTTGAAAAGAAACGTTTAAAAACTTTAAAGCACACCTGTATCTTCCCCAGAAACTGTATCTTTACTTTATTTTTATTTATTTCTTACAGATCAGCTGCTTTGCCAAAAGCCACTCAAAATCTACTGCTGCTGCTGATAATGTGACCCTTCCTCTAATAGGACGGTTTACCCGGGGGGTACGACAGCATCTCCATTCAGTTCCACCTCTCCGCCATTTACCACCTGCCATACTCAGATCGGGGCCTGCTCTGCATTTGAGGCTCTTTGTAACTGACAGCTATGAGCAGACGTGGACTGGGCCCTGTGTCATCACCGCTGAACACCGCATCTTTGCAGAGGTCTCTGTTCTCATTGGACATTTCAACTCTAATCATATTTCCAACATGTTGACAGTCAACAGGTCTCATCTAAAATGTATGGAAGAGGATTAGGGACACTTAAAAAAAAAATTTACTGATTTTTTCATTGCTCTTTAAACCCACTGGATCGCTGGCGAAACGTTTTAAAACTTTTACAACTAATAACTGCATGAAAATAACACCCGTAAAATGTATACCCATATAGACATGTTAGACATCATTGGAAAGCTTAGTTTTTCCATTATTCAACCACCAGGTTCATTTTATGGACAGAGCATCAAAGCACAACTAACACAGATATAGCAACATGTCACAATGTAAACATGACAAAGCAGCCACAATAAGCTTTGAAGGCGTCCAGAAGCCATTTTATAGATCCAACCTTCAACTGTTTATACTCCATTCATCCATAAGGGACCACAGATTAAAAGTAATCCAGGATATTACTAATAAAAATATTCTATGATGAGAAAATCGCCACATAACTCCCAGTTTTTGATATCAGAAAAGTTAGCTGGTCATAGCTAATGCTTAGCCTCTTGCTAATGTTATATTCCCTAATTCTAATTTCCTCTGTTGTTAGCTCGCAATGTTCGGTATGGTTCTTTACATCGTCTCCTTACGGATCTTTTTATAATGTGATTTAAGCCAGATACAGTCGTTAAAATCTCATTTCCAGTCATTTCCTGTCAGCCAGTGACGCATCGAGAAGCGCAATATTACGCCTCATAGAGTTCTGCTGTTATTGGTTAAGACCACATGGGCTGTTTGGCTTTTTAGCCAATGAAACACGGTTTCAAACAAGCATACACATAACTGGCTTATATAAAGGGGGGCAGTTTTGCTGGTTTGTGTAAGAATGAAACACACAGCTGCGGCTAGATCAATGAGCGCAGCTCCAAGATGAGTAATAACAACGGTCCTATTTTGTTTAAGTTTGGACGCTGATTTTGTTTTATTACAATGCCGGCTGGGGAAAAAAACAACAAAATACAGCTCAGAAAAAGAACTGGGGCTTATTTTAGCTTGAAAAGCAGCATTTCCACTATTTTGTATAGATTTTTATGTTATTGTTGTCACATTTTGGTTGGTGTTTGTGGACCCAAATGCAGAGGCAGGGAGGCAGAGGTGAGTTCTTGTAGATTTAATTAAAAATCAACTTAATATATAACACAAACCAGAACCATGAAGACACCAGGGAAAAATAATCACGAGGAGCCAGGGAGAGACGAGGTAGGAAGAAAACAGCATTGAGAAAGCAGCAATGACAAGGAACCAACAAGGAGTGACAGCAGAGGGAGAGAATATATAGCTGACTGAGACAAAGGCAGGGCAAACGAGCTGATAAATAGCAGGTGTGAGAGGAGACAACGAGGGAGCCAAGGGGAAAGGAACATACACAAGAGGGCAACAGTGGACAATAGAAAAACCTGAGAACTAACATAAATCTAGAAACTACAACAAAACAGGAATTAAACCAATAAAACTAGGAAACAAGGAGCAAAGTAAAGCACAACAGAACCAAAACCATGACAATTGTGGTTGACATGATGTAGAATAAATGTAATACAATGAGACATGCCTATTCTCAAGCATGTCTTTATTACTGCTGTTCAAAAAAGACCTATTGTTTTCAAGAATGTAAAAAACAACTTTGAGTCATGTGTGAATTGATGCAGCTTGGGCTGTGTTCTAGTCACCCAATTTTCATTTATATATTCAGAAACTAGAAGGTGCTAGCTTTCAAATAATGTGATGCACATGTAATTTGGGCTTACAGTTCCTAAGTTATTTGCTTTTCCTTTTGGGTATGCAAAATAGGCAAGGATTACCCAAAATGAGGTGGCTGTTAATTAATATGGGAAAAAAGTCTGAATTAATCTCATATTTCTGAGATCAATGTCAGAATTCTCACTTTTTTTCCGATATTAAACTAAAATACAATAAAACATTTCTAAACTATAATTTAACTTTATTTTTTCCAGTGGCCCTAATCGCCTTCCATATAAACGCCTATTTCATGTGCAATGAGGATTTCTGAATTTTTTATTTCTTTCTCTGCAGATATCTGCCAGAGCCTCCCTCGCAGATGTGGTGCAAGTGAAGTCATGTTTTGTATCTCCTCAGTCTGACCCTAAAAAATCTCCCTTTTGGACTGTAATACAAAATGGCTGCTCGTCAGACTCCTCTTTTAACCTCGACACAAAGACAAACGGTGACAGTGAGGATGAGGAAGATCCTGATGAAACAGATGGACATGAAGGAGGAGGATACGATCACAAGGAGAGAAGATTCCCAGAGTTGAACAGCACACTAAACATAGGAGATTTGGGTCAAATACGACGGTTGAGATTTAGTTTTATCCTGCGGCCAGTTTATAATGAGCCCATGCAGTTTGTCCACTGCAGCCTCCTTCTTTGTCTCTCTGACTCAGCAGATGGGAAACCCTGGAAGGAAGAAGCAGGCGATAGCTGCCAGAGTGGGACACAGATCCCTCCACTAGTGTCAGGGTCATCCAGACATCAGGTAAAAAAACACTTTATAAACAAATGCAGAATAAAGTTCCCCCATATAAGTGGAATATGTTAGACATATTTAAAGCTGATCAGAGTTAACATGCTGTAAAAACTAATACTTTAGATCAGATTTAGCATTTAAAAACCCTAAAGAAAGACAAAGAAATAGATTTCTATCAAATCCTAAATGACGTTTTCCTTTCTTCCCGTGTCAGTGTGTTATCAGAAACCTCTCCAGACCCATGGTGGTTACCCGGCCTATTAGTTCACTGGTAACCAAAACAAAACCCTCTGCAGGTCCAAGAACAAACCGGACACAAAGCTCCGGTGAGTTTCCACTGCTAGAGGATTTTTCTCTACTGCACTTTAGCTTATGTCATCATTTGTCTGCAGGTTTCATGTTGCAGGAAGGACCGTTGATGGGAATCGTCTTTGCAGCTTTTTTGGTTGGAGTCAGTTTAATGGGGGGACTGTGGTGCATCTATACATATACAGGTACATCTATTGTTAGTCTGGTTAAGTTTTTCCCTGTAACTGATCAAAAGAATCTCCCTATTAGAAGATTTCTTCTGTTTTGGCTTTTTGTGGCATTTAATTTCATTTCATATTTCAGATCATGAAATCACTTGACCTAAGTTAATTTAAAAAAAAAAATTTCTAAAGGTGATTTTATTTTTATTATTTTTATTATTTTTAAAGGTGCCCAACAGATTTTGCTTTCACAAATGGAGCAGTACGGCTATCGCTATAGAGTTCCGCTTGATTTATGCTTTTAATAGCTTTATTATAATTCATGCTGGGAGTATTACAGAATATATGGACACTGTTTTGGGAAACTAGAACAGGATAAAAAAGGAAAAAGGAGAAATGAGGGAGATAAAAGGGAGATAATGATAAAACATCTTCGGTCTGCTTCATCACCTGCAAAGAAATGTAAAAATAACAGTACAAGCAATGGAAATAGTATAAGGGATACAATAAAGTAACACCTTGATTATAAGTAGTATTATTTAATCTGACATGTATACTGCGGTAGCTGAAGATAAGAATATGGGCTTTCTGTATGTAACGATGATTTTATTAAAACAAAGGTACCTTAAGTGCGCCACAATGGTTGTTAGCAGTTAGGTTAGGTCTCTATGTTACAATTCCCAAGTGACATAAGTTGGATTTTCTAACTAAAGCTCTACCTGTATGGAATTAGTTTTGTGTGAGGATAATTCAGCTTAATTAAAAATTAAAAAGCACTCCCGCAATGCATCTGAACACTTTGAAAAATAATATACTCAACTATATTTTCATATGCTGATATCAAATTGATTTTTAAAAACGTGGTATCGATATATTTTACTTTCAAAATCTTGTAAAATTTCATCGTTCTGTTACAAACTCTCGTGATATTTTGTAAATTCTTGTGAGATTTTGTTAGTAAAATAGGTCGATACCGCGTCAATATATCAACATATAAAAATATGGCAACATTTAGTGAATTTTCGGGGGATTTCGTAGCATAACGATGACATATAGCAATATTTCATTAGTAAAAGAGATTGATATGGTGTTTTTAAATGGCAATATATCAGCATATGAAGATATTGTGATATTTTAATGTATCAATATTTTTTTCCTCATCTTTAGAAGTTTTTAAGTCTGTAAAAAAAGAAGTTTTTGAGGAAGAAGAAGAACTAGTATTTTATTATAATTTTTTTTTTTTGACTTTAGAAACTCAGAAGCTGATCAAATATCGGGTTAAATATCGGTGGGGTGGCCGATGTCCGATATTCAGTTTTAAGGCCGATACAGGCCGATACCGATAGGGGGCCGATTATATCGTGCATCGTTAATATATATATATATATATATATATATATATATATATATATATATATATATATATATATATATATATATATATATATATAGTTCAAGTAGTTGACAAAATTTAATTATTCTAAAAATAAATAGGTATATTAGGTATATTACAGGTATATTAAGAATTTGTGACATCCAACATTGTAACATATAAACAGTATATGAACATCTGAATTAACTTAACACATAAAGAATGAACACAAACACTCAAAGTAGGTAAGTTTCACTACCTTTGATGAATGGGTCAACCATCTTGACTGCTGAGATTAGTTTTGACTTTTAGATGTGTTTCAGCAGAAGTTCTTTCTAAGTTGGAAGTTGGGAAATTTCTAAGCACTTATTAGAGATGTTATTAACATGCCCTGGCATAACCTGAAATAGGCCTGTTATTCCCATATAATTCTGATATAGCTTAGTCAATAAAAACATTTCATCACGTTCATAAAGAAGATCTCCCTGCAGCTGTTGCCAGCAATCAGGTTGCAACCAGTTATTAGGTTCAGTTAATCTTTCATAGGAACAATTTGGTCTGGATGCTTTTTAATAACCATTAGATTAGAACCTGCAGTTGAAATTGAAAGTAGTGTTTAAAAATGAAAATCATTCAACATGCTTGTGATTGATAAAAACAAAAAGGAAATATTTGATAAATAATGAAGGTACAAGCAATTTCCTGTAGGAAAAAAATTGAACTTTTATTTTCTATATTTTTGTTCAATTTACATAAAATTGCACTGTTTTGTACTCAGAGACAAACAGTTTAGTGCTCTGTTTTCAAAACATATTTCTGGGTTTTTGTGTTTGTGTGTCTGTAAGCTATGGTTATCCAAAGATATGCAACAGTTTGCCAAATGCATGATCTGCACTTTCAGTTTGCAACCACAGAAATGAAACTATGTCACCCTGCATCTCAGGACACACTGTACAGTTTTAACAGTAAGCATAACAAAAAGAAAAACACAGACTGCAGGGCAGACGCTGATTTAATCTGGGACGCCGAGAATATGTGTGAACTCCAGCCATAGCTTTGATGATGGAAGCATGAGACAAAAAATGGGTTCCAGTGAACTGATGGCACTTCCTGTTTCAATATGGTATTGTATGTTTTTGTGTTTTTCAGGGCGACGCTTGGAGCCGTTTAGAGATGGTCCTTTAACAAACCAGACTCCAGAGGGTTGCAAAGTGACGACTCCATCTTTCCCATCTGATCAGTCGTCCAGCTCGGTTTAGCGGTATGACACAATGACCAGTTAACCAGAAATCCAATCAACAACTGTCTTATATTTAAAGAATTTATTAAAGCAGCATTGAGTAATACTTTTACCTTAATATAGATGCTAATCTAAGTGTTTATGAGATGATTGAGATGTCTGTTATCTCCCCCCTACTGGCTCTGCTCAGAAAAAAACCACTGGTTAGTTAGGGGACTTTATCTGGCAGCAGTCTCATGGCTCTGTTCTCTTTCAACCAGTCAGTTAAACAGCTTTATGACAGTGTAGCTCTACGCCTCGTGCAGCGCTACCCATAGGTGATTACTGAGCTTTTTTTATCTGTAGGTTCAATACAAATATCTTTATTAGTGGGGGGAAGGAATGGAAATGAGAATAAGAGCAAGGGTGGCCATATCTATAGCACCAAAAAGGAGGACATTGTGCGGCATATCAATAAATTACTAAGGTGTACATAAGAATCGGGTAAAGTCACATTTATAGTACAATTCTTAGTTTAGTTTAGTTTTAGTTTCTTAGTTTAAAGAGGATGCTTGTGTAGCTGAATATTACAAAATATTAAAGAAGTGTAAAAAAGAATTGGTTCCCAGCATTTGTATTTATTTAATACATTGTGGTGTTTAAAAAGTGACCACCGAGATGAATCTTTAAAGTGCAGAATACCACAAAGCATAAGATGTGTGGACTTAAACGTTAAAAAAATCTTTTTAACAAGAAACATTCATAATAAAATAGCCTAATATTTTTTTAAACAACAAAAGAGATTGTAGAAAACACATTCAACTGCTCTAAAAGTATAGCTTTATTTTTAAGAGCCTCAGTCTTTTGGGAACTTATCTTAAGTGTCTGTGTGTGCAGCAGACCTGTCTTTATGGTCATCCCTTTAGCTATGGGCCAATCACTGAAATCCACTTTCACGTCACAGTCTACACTTCCATAGGACTAGTGATGTTTTATAGTATAATCCACCTTGCAGCTCGGCACAAGTTATTTTAGCATCCAGGGGCGACAAAACTTAATGTACATTAAAGAGTTTGCTGCACGTTTATTACTTTTACGTTAATCCGTACTCGCACGCCGTTCAATTGCAGCTTTTCTTCCACTGCTTACACATCGCATCGACCAAGTGGCAGAAACCATGGAAAGAATTTTCAGTACCTTTCGTCATAAATTCACGCTCTTTTGTCCATTCTGGGTTAAACGACGTCCTGGTTTTGACAGGATGCTAACTTTAATACTTAGCATCAGTAATTCTGATCCTTGTTTACTTTTGTGACCAATGACATGCAGATCTTTATCTGACATGCTGCCACTCTTAGCCAATCAACTGTTAGATCAGATAGTGATGCATTGTTGATGATTGGATATTGTGCTGCAGCCCAGCAAAAAAAAAAAAAAAAATTAAATCTGCTCTACGAGCCTAGTGCCTCATAAAGGAGGACAAATATATGTCCGGCTGCATGCGGTGCCAAACGCCGGACAGTGCTATGAAAATCCGGACTGTCCGCCCTAAAGCTGGACATCTGGCCACACTAGTGAGACCTCAAACACAACAAGGATGATGACCTGGTATTCTTCTTATTGGACATGTATGAATTCTACCTGCTAATCTCTGTTAGAGCTCAGTTGTGCTTGATGAATGAACAGGCACAACAGCAGCTTTTATTCTCTGTGCAGCTTTTTCCAAAATAATCTGGCCGACTCTAGGTGGGCGTGTGCCGCGAAAACCTACAACACTACACAATACATTGAGTTATAAAACACAGGTGTTTTCAACATTTTTAAACTGTCTGTGTTTCATCCAAGAGGAACACTAAGAGGATTATCAACTCGTCAAACCGTTTTTTTAAGAGTTTCTCACAATGTGTTGATGCAGTGACATTTATGGGCCATGTCATGAGATGTGGACAGAAGCCGTCTAATGAGGACAGTGAGGACTTTTTGTCTGTACATCAAACACAGGATGAGGATACAGCCTGGAATTGTTTTTCTTAATAACAACAAAACCGAAGTAATCTTTGGACCAATAGAGGAGAGATCTAAAATTAGTCGCTTCAGCTAGTAACCACTGATCAGGCCCGAAATCTACAGTAGGTGTAGTGCTGGATTCAGACTTGAAAATCATTTCCAGGAAAAAAGGAATAATGTCTCAGCATGATTTGGAAAAACTAATCCATGCGTTTATTTTTAGTCGAATTGATTACTGCAACGGTGTTTTCACAGGTCTGCCTAAAAAGTGGATCAGACAGCTGCAGCTGATCCAGAACGCTGCTGCCCGTGTCCTCACTAAGACTAAGAAAGTAGAGCGCATCACCCCGGTTCTAAAGTCCTTCCACTGGCTCCCTGTATCTCAGAGAATAGACTTTAAAATACTTCTGTTAGTCTATAAATCTCTGAATGGCTTAGCACCTAAATACATCACAGACGTGCTATCAGTGTATCAATCCTCCAGACCACTCAGGTCTTCTGGCTCCAGCCTGCTCTGCATACCTAGAACCAGAACTAAACATGGAGAAGCAGCATTTAGTTCCTATGTTCCACTTACACTATATTGCCAAAAGTATTTGCTCACCTGCCTTGACTCACATATGAGCTTAAGTGACATCCCGTTCCTAATCCATAGGGTTCAATATGACGTCGGTCCACCCTTTGCAGCTAGAACAGCTTCAACTCTTCTGGGAAGGCTGTCCACAAGGTTTAGGAGTGTGTTTATGGGAATTTTTGACCATTCTTCCAGAAGCGCATTTGTGAGGTTGCACACTGATGTTGGACGAGAAGGCCTGGCTCTCAGTCTCCGCTCTAATTCATCCCAAAGGTGTTCTATCGGGTTGAGGTCAGGACTCTGTGCAGGCCAGTCAAGTTCATCCACACCAGACTCTGTCATCCATGTCTTTATGGACCTTGCTTTGTGCACTGGTGCACAGTCATGTTGGAAGAGGAAGGGGCCAGCTCCAAACTGTTCCCACAAAGTTGGGAGCATGGAATTGTCCAAAATGTCTTGGGATGCTGAAGCATTCAGAGTTCCTTTCACTGGAACTAAGGGGCCAAGCCCAGCTCCTGAAAAACAACCCCACACCATAATCCCCCCTCCACCAAACTTTACACTTGGCACAATGCAGTCAGACAAGTACCGTTCTCCTGGCAACCGCCAAACCCAGACCCGTCCATCAGATTGCCAGATGGAGAAGCGCGATTCGTCACTCCAGAGAACGCGTCTCCACTGCTCTAGAGTCCAGTGGCGGCGTGCTTTACACCACCGCATCCGACGCTTTGCATTGCACTTGGTGATGTATGGCTTGGATGCAGCTGCTCGACCATGGAAACCCATTCCATGAAGCTCTCTGCGCACTGTTCTTGAGCTAATCTGAAGGCCACATGAAGTTTGGAGGTCTGTAGTGATTGACTCTGCAGAAAGTTGGCGACCTCTTCGCACTATGCGCGTCAGCATCCGCTGACCCCGCTCCGTCAGTTTACGTGGCCTACCACTTCGTGGCTGAGTTGCTGTCGTTCCCAAACACTTCCATTTTCTTATAATACAGCTGACAGTTGACTGTGGAATATTTAGGAGCGAGGAAATTTCACGACTGGATTTGTTGCACAGGTGGCATCCTATCACAGTTCCACGCTGGAATTCACTGAGCTCCTGAGAGCGACCCATTCTTTCACAAATGTTTGTAAAAACAGTCTGCATGCCTAGGTGCTTGAATTTATACACCTGTGGCCATGGAAGTGATTGGAACACCTGATTCCAATAATTTGGATGGGTGAGCAAATACTTTTGGCAATATAGTGTATCTGGAACAAACTTCCAGAAAACTGGAAAAGTGCGGAAAGCCTGAGTTCCTTTAAATCAAGACTAAAAACACATTTGTTTAGGATTGCCTTCGACTGTTCTAGTTAAACAGTTCAACTGAAACATCATTAGTTCAACTTTTTTATTTTCTTTAGTCCAACTGTTTTTAATATTCTTTTTTGTTTCTGCATTTTTTTATTTTATTTTCCTACTTGCTTTGATTCTGTTTTATTTTCCTATATTTTAATCATGTAAAGCACTTTGCATTGTCTTTGTACTGAATTGTGCTATACAATTAAATTTGCCTTGCCCTGGAGCCAAAAGGAGAGCTATCTGTAATCCTGAGGTGTAGAGGCAAAAGGCACAAAGGTCAGGGCATGGATGGCGTGTCAGTTTCTGACACAAATAGCTAAGCGTCCACCTGATGCAACACAGATTCATGAGGTATAAGAGGCAGGAGATCATCTTGTTCGAGGCTCCTTTTGCAGATGCCAACGCATGCTGACTTCTTGAGCCCACAGCTGTGCCAACTCTCCCCAATTTCTGTCCAGTAACGATCTGAACTGGAATAAACTGTTAATTTTTACTAATTTTTATATAGTTTTACCAAGTTTTGAGTTAAGCATAATTACACCAAGTAGCTTGCTCAGAGGTTTAATCGCCTTCAGGGGAACATAACTTTCTATTTTAAAAGTGTTTAATCTAAATTTCATTTCAGTTAAAAATGTGGCTGTTTTAAAATGACCTTGCACTAGTGGATTCGTAGTAGAGGTAAACCTTAAGGACAAGAACAGATATCCTGATCTGAACTTTTAAAACATTGGCTATAAATATGTCTGCTAATGCAGTGCATGTATTTACCAAAGCTGCTATTGACTAAATGTAGTTTAGTGCAGTCATGGATTTGAAATAAGCACTGACTACCTGAATCAGTAGCTCTGCTGTTGGTCTGATCTCTTGGTGTTACTCAGGGAACAATCCTTGGCTCTCTTCTTTTTCTCTTTTTCCACATCCTGCTTTCGGAACTATTTTTTTAAAATAAATAATTTTGTATTTAATTTTAGAAAAGAAAAAGAAGGGGAAAACAGACATATCCGCCCTGCGGTTCTCATAACATATATCAGTCTGTTCGTTCTAAACTTATGCCATAATTAAACATATTTTACCTCATTTTAATCTTTGTAAGCAAATTTTTTACAACTTTTTTTTTTCTCTTCACTTTTTCAATGTAAAAAAGAAAGTTTTTGATGGATATTTTAGTATATGAGCTAAATAATAACTGGATGGGTGGAGTCATTCATGTTTTTTCTTTGTTTGTGTTGTCAGAGTTTCACTAGGCAAATCTTTTTCCCGACACATGAAACCTACCAAATGATACCAAACATTTTCTAATAATAGCTAATCAACATAGTCGGAAGTCAATCTACCACTTTGCCCTCTTTTCATATTAAAGAAATTGGAGGTGCAGACCAGCTGGGGGGGGGGGGGGGGGGGGGGGGAGGGGGGGGGAGGGGACTGAGCCCAAATTCAAAGCTGCGTATTTAAAATAAGCTGCAGCGGTTAAATGCTCAGTCAGTTCCAGAAAATTTATCAGCATTAGGCAAAGCACCTGCAGATTTTTTTGCTTTGATGTTGCAGATAAGTTTAAACAGTTGTATTCTTTTATCTCTTTCTCAGGATTTCCTCCTGCAAATCTGAGAGAGAAGAACTGGGACAGGGGTTGCAACAGCTTCTGTGTGTTTTTTTCTGTATGTGTGTGAGAACACAGCTGCTTCTCTGGTGTGCAGAGCCGTTTTTTGCACCTCTAGTCGTGTCATGTGCTGCTGAGAGGAGGCCTGAAAACAGTGAATACAGTAGATCTTAATCATGCGCAGCGTTCTTTAAACGGACACGTTTTAGATTCAAAGCGATAAGTCACTTGTTTGATGATGTGGGCCACTCAACTTTAAGCCTCTGAAGAGACCTTCATCTGGATTCAACGAGGCCTAAAGATGGTTACGGTGACTCAAACAGAGAGCAGATCATCGTCATCTTCTGGCTTGCATGGTAGACAAGATGCAGAAATAAACTATTTTGCAGCTCTAAAGTTTGAGAGTTTAATTAGAAATTTGAAGCCATCATGTAAACTCAAAATAAATGCATAGTCGGCTTTTTTCTTTCTGAATTTATTCTGTTGAATTTTTATTGGTATAGCAGGAGATTTTTGACACAAGGTTCCATGGGCGTAGGTTTGCATAGGGACCATAGGGACATGTCCCTACCAAAATTATGGACTGACCTACTTATCCCTACCAACAATCAGATGTGAATAACATGTTTATAATTTACAATACAGCTTTGTTGCAGCAGTAGAGGACTTTTGTATGGAGAATATTGAAAGACGAAAACATTTTTTATCTAAAATGCAAAATGTTCATATATATTTTTTGTATAATTTCTGCTGTAAGTGGGTCACACTGTGAGCTAAAGACATGTTTTAGAGTCTCTATACTCCAGCTAACGATTAATCGATTACTAAATTTGTTGACATTATTTCAATAATCGATTAATCTGATGAATTGTTTCAGCCCTAAATAAAACACATGAAATGGGTTAAACAGAGTAACTACAGCCTAGATGTACAACTTCTAGAGTGAAATTAATGTTTTAAATGCTCAGTGTCAGTTCCAGTGCTCATGTAAATAAAATAAATGTATTTGGCGTCCATTGAATCTATTATTTTGCTTTATTTAATGATACAAAGAGAACATTTAAAAGATAAGAGTGGGTTTTACCTCTGTTTGCCTCTGCAGATTTATATATCTTTAAAAGAAAAAAGCAGGATAAATCCACATATAACAGACATATTTAGACTCTATTTTTCGTTAAATAGGCACAGATTTACCTACTGTCTTAGTTGCTGGTAATTTGGAGTGGAAAATAGTTCTAATTCCACATTCATCAGAGCCGTTGATGCTTCAAACATTGACAAACAGCATCTAGTGTGTCGTAGTGCTTATAAAATTTGTATAAATGTTGCAAGAAATGCTGCTTTTCTCTTCAAATGAAATACACCCTGATTTTCACCGTAAGCATAAAATAACGAGCATGCATATTTTTGCATAGGACCAATGACATCAGACCAGCAGTGTCCGTACCAAAGTTTAAATTTAAACCTACGCCCTTGCAAGGTTCACTTTAAAGGTAAAAAGAAGCTAATCTCTAACCTGCATCGGAAAAAGCTTAACCATTTCATGAAGCATAGATCCAGATTAAATCCAGATAAAATCCAATCAGTAAAGACTGGAGCTCAAAGAGCACTTGTTCAATCATTAAATTATACCAACTTAAAAACATATTTATTGCAGTTTATGAGAACACGGTTTTATAAACCTAATTGGGCAAAGAAGCCAAAGATTAACCCTTATTCTAATTCAGAAGTTGATGTCTTACTTGCAACTGCAAACTATGTTAGCAAGTCGAAATTAATTAAACAGGAAAAAGAGATGGGAGGAGATGTGGTGCTATTAGCTTAGGTTTTTTTCTAGTGGTATTTTTTTTTTTATTATGTGCTGTTTTTACAATAAAATTTCTGGATGACTGATCTTTGTAGGTGTAATAAAGACACAAGTCCAATTAACCCATTTTATAAAAGTCAAATTTCCTGAGAATAACAACTGAAAATGATATTTTAATGCTTTTTTACTTATAAATAATCCAATAATCAATGAAAATAGTTCATTATAAGAACTAAAAAAAGAATAAACGGTGATGGAATGATCAAATTGATCTTTATTCATGTAAACAAAACATATACTGCGCCTACCTTTAAACAAAGGCCTATTTACAAGAAAAGTTACACCTATTCCAACACTTCTTGTTTATTGCCTCATCTTTGGGCGTAAGCTTCTCCATAGCCACATTGAGTCTCTTGGTGGCGCTGCAGGTCCACCCTTCGCTGGAAAGTGTGCTGACAGCGAGAGCAGCTGAAAGGCCGGTAGCTGCTGTGCTTTCGGCTGTGGGTGATGAGGTTGGAGCTCTGGCTGAATCCTTTACCGCACACCTTGCACACGTGTGGTTTCTCACCTGAGCAGGGAGCAGGAACAAGAAAAGGCCATCATGCTTCATGCAAACATTTCACTCATGAATAGTACATTGTGTCTTGTGCCTCACCTGTGTGTATGAAAGTGTGTTTCTTCATGTCAGACTTCTGGTGGAACCTTTTGCCACAGTACTGGCAGGGGTAAGGTCGTGTGTCAGAGTGGATGAGGAGGTGAGTGGACAGGGTGGACGAGCGCTTAAAGACCTTCCCGCACACTTTGCAACCAAAACTGCGGTCCTGGATGCAGAGACAGAGCTTATTATTAGTCTGGGCCTGAACAGGATTTTTTTTTAAACAACAAAAAAAGGTTAATGAGTGAAGACCTTTGCTCTACTGTAGCTGCCAGCTTCTCGGAAACCAAAGGGCATGTGGGACATGTCTGTAGAAGTCAGTGACCTTGTCAAAGGGATTGAGAGGTTGTTGTACACCTGATCCTGAGGATGACTGCCGGATATTAGGATATCTGACACAGACTGCTGAAAGAGGAACAAACAAATAAGATAAATTCATATTGGGTTCAGTAACCCTCTGTTAGAGCTGAAATAGGTGAGATAAAACCATAAAGAATCACTGGAAGATTAATATTATAGTAAAATTTTACACCTAAGCAACAGAAACACAAATACAAAAAACAAGGGAAATATATATAGATATATGTTTATATATATAGCTGCTTTTATTTTAGTATGTATCTTTTAATCTCCTTTAATGAATCAATTAAACAATCTATGAAGAGTGTAAAATATTCCAGAGCAGGTTTGATCAGTTCATGTATTTTGGATTTCAAACTAAATAATCTAGATGAAAGATTCTTTCCAAAAAATGTAAAAAAAAAAACAAAAAAAAAAAACAATCCACTGGATTTTGTTTCCAAGTTTGAAGATGTTTAGCTTGCCTTCCAGGAACCTTGCTTTACAATGCAACAATTGAGTTGATTCCTTCCCGCTATCATGGCAGCACCCACTCCCTTACAGGTGAGAAAAAAAACACCTCGCCTCTTCAGCCAGGCCAACAATTCCCTCTAACGACCCCCTTTTCAGAGCCATATACCAGTATTGGGTATTGCATTTTAACAAAGAACCCAAACGAACCCCATTCCAAAGGGGCGGACCCATTTGTTCGGTTCAATTTGCATTATTTCTAAGCCAAAAATATACTTTGTTTTGTTCCACTATATAAAGCCTCGAACGTAACGCTATTTCTGACATTTTGAATTGAAAAAGCTTCCTGGATGGGAAGCGAAATGTCTTTAAACTTGAAAAAAAAGTCCAGTGTTTTTTTTTTTTTTTTTAACTTTTTTTTGAATGACAATGACCTGGATGACTGAGAATCTTCACCAGCAAAATGAAAGATTCCAGGTTAAATAAAAAAAAGTGAAATTGCAACTCTATTTTGATATATATATTGAGATATGAATTTTAGTCCATCGTTGGAAGGTTATTTTCCTCACTTTTGGGTCCATTTCCCATCAACTAGAATTCCAAATTAGCAATAAAAAGCTTTTTTGTGGTGCAACTAACAGATAACTTGAATGCTTTTGCTGCACTCTATATAATATAATATATATATATATATATATATATATATATATATATATATATATATATATATATATATATATATATATATATAATATATATATATTTATTTATATTTTACATCATGGTCATATTTTTTAAAGAAAAGCAACAAACAATGTCTTGTTTCAGAGTGTTTCTCATTAAAAAAGAAAACTATTACAAAACTAATGTTAAGTCTGTAATAACAATAACTATCGATAGAGATAATATATGGTCAGCAAACATAGTTTATAATATCTGACATAATGTTGCCATTATTATTTCATTAGGGGTAATATTATGATTGCAGACTATGAGAATCTATTCCTAACAATGTAATTTTATTGCTGCCAGTTCGCCCTCAAAACTAAATCTGATCAATAATGAAATAAGCCATGTTTTATGAATTAATACTTCTAAAACCTCTATAGAGTCGTGGCTATTTTTTTCTCCTTCAATATTCAGTATTTGGTCTTATGGAGTTATATCAGCATATCATCAGCATACGGTTTAACTTGGATTACGAAATAGGTAATTTATATTTAACGTGATAATATTATATTCTTTACTTCGTCAGGATCTGGTTATTCTTACCTTCTCACAGAGAGGACAATCTCTGACGGGCGATTTGAGGTCAGTGTGCGATGTGTGGTTGAGCAACAAGAGGACGAGTCTCTCGAGTTCTCTTTCTCTGTTGGATTGTTGTTGGTCCGATGACCATGAAGAGGCTGGTGGAGGATAGACTTCTTTCTCCACAGAGGCTTTGGTCAAAAATAAAAAAGAATAAAAAAAAAAACTGTTAATAACAGTTGGAGAGATAGATGACACCAACTATTAGATGCATTACTACTAAGTCACTTGGACATTGGCGTAGAGAAAACAAGAGCAGCAGTTGGACTATTACCTTTCTCGCTTTCAATAACAGAATGCCATTTGATGTGAGTCAAAGCAAAAAAAATCATAACCGTATTTCTACTGTAATTGATTATACCTGAAGGCCAGAGCTTGTGTTTTGCTGTTCTGTAGGAGCAGTTTTCCAACCCTTCTTTGGGTGAGCAGGGATCAGCCAGAAGGTCTCTGATCCCGGGGGATAAAGGTTTCGGAGCATCTTCAAGGTGGCCAGTCGTAGCCTCCTTGGCATCAGTCTCAGCCTGCTGTCTGAAGTAGTCATCCCTTGGTGGGCTGTAGAGATGCGTCCGTTTGGTCTTGACGAGGAACGAGCGCGGCATTGCAGAAGTAGGCGTCTGAGGGAGTAAAAGTGTTGCGCTATAAATCTGCAGGAGTCTGAGAAGCCAACTCTTTCATGTCACTTTTAGAGCCTCGCACACGCTCAGATCTCGAACACCTGTTGGTTCATCTTCAGTTACAATGCCAAGGTTTGAGGTTTTCTTAACAAATACAGCCTGCCACCTGCACAAAGGTTTTGAGGGCTTTTACTAAGGATAACCCTGCTATGCTGGAAGGCAGCTTTGAAACTGATTCTGTCGCTGCTTTTACATAAACATGCTGTACAGATATATTCCCCCAAATTCAAATAGATTCAGGATGTTAAAAACCAGCTAATATGAGAGTTCTGCAAATTGATTTCCACATATATATAGAAAAATATCTAAACAATAACTTGCATGTGTTTCACATAGCTGTCTGTTTTGTTAACAGTGAAGGAAATGGAATAGAGGGAAGAAAGAAAGAGATTATTGTAAAAATTACAGCTCTGACATAAAATTACATCTTTCAAATTGATGCATTTTTGTAAAAATAACTTAAAATCCCATGAAATAGCATGGATTAGTAATCTATCTATATATATAATTCTGGCTATTGCATTACTCAAATTTTACATCAAGCAGATGCTTGTTGCATAAATATTATGACAAATGATTGGAAATTGAAAATATGTTTTCGCGTTTTTAGTATGAAAGAAAGCAAGAAGTGGTCGATCTTACCTCAGCACCGCGGAGCTGAATGTTGACTGCTTCAACAGTCCTCATCGCTTGCAACATCCTAATTTTTTTTTCTCACACCCATCCACCGATGACATGTCGCTAAGAGATTTGATTTGATTTTGAGAAGGGTTCTGAGGATTGTTTTACTGAAGGTAAAGGAAGTGAAACCACAGAAGAAGCTCAGAGGAGTTAAAAGAATATAAAAGGAATAGTTCCTCCGAGGCAAATGAATCTTATCTATTAATTAGCTCTTCTCACACTTTTTCTTCTTGCCAGACTGTTGAAAAACCGAGCAGCTGTTTTCGTCTTCTGCAAACTTTTTCAATGATTGCAAAAGTTAGAGTGTGCAGGGAGTAAAACCAAGAAGATGCTTTTTTTTGTATTGTTTTTTAAATGTGGCACCAGTTTGTCACTAATGGATTCGTGTTGCAATGACTGTTCACGTGGGTGGACTTACAAACACACCAAGCAATGTTTGGAAAGTTTAAATATCTCATCATTCTCATGTGAACACGTGAACCTTTACAACCACAGGTGGGATATCTTAAGGGTTGTCAAGTGCAATTAGTGGAAATACCCTTTGTTCACCTGTATAGGAGGTTTTTTTTGCCACATGTGAGTCAACTTCCAGATCAAGCCCTCCTTCTTTCAGTGGCAAGAAAATTCAGCTGATTCTAGTTATGGATGAATGACATACTTTTAAAGTTTGCTTTTTGTTTTTTTTTTATATTTGTTGCAAAGAACTCATTCAATTGGTCTAAAGTACAAAAGACAATATTTCCTCATAGACCAGAGAACACCCAAACAAATCAAAAGCCTAAAAGAAAGTTTAGCCTATTTCTTTCATTGTTCTTTAAGCGTTTGGACTTGATGCAAAAGCCTGGTGTCCATATAAAGGTAATGATTTTACTTTTATTTTTTACTGAACAGTCCAGTTTGTTGTACTGGTGAGCAGTTTTTAGTTATTAAAGGTCAAAAATTAGTTTTTTTCTGAGGACACAGGTGTCATATTTTTTATTCCAAACACTAAAACCTAAAATTTTTATTAAAAATGCGATTCCATTGATATAAAAATGTGCGTTTTTTTCTTAAAGTAATAGTAAAAAAAAGGAAATTTAAACACATTAATTATTACCTTTTTTTTTCTTTTTAAGTTTGAAAATGTATTTGAATCCTCATGACACGTCATGTTAAGGCTTGTTAGAGAAAAAAAAAAAACTGAAAAACAAAATGTTCTCCATTATCAAAATGAATAAAGACAGCACATTTGTGTTGCTAAATAACTTGCAATAAAGACTACAGTCGTAAAATGAAACAAACACAACATTTATTTATGTTTTCATGGAATGACGTGTACTAAAATAGTTTAGAGAGAAAAACCAAAAGGTTCAATTTCAGGATGAATTTTTAAAATTAGCTAACATCAATAATTATTCTTAGATATATATTTTTGGTTCCATAAAAGTTCAAAAAAATCCACTGGGCATTTCAAATGTCCAGACATTTGAATTGAGAAAGCTTCCTGGAGAGGTGGCGAAACGTCTTCAAATCTTGGAAACCAAGTCCAGTGGATTTTTTTGAACTTTTACGGAATGACTATGACCTGGATGACTGAAAATCTTCATCAGTATATATTTTTTGGTTCTAAAATGAAAAAATCTGAAAACAGTCAAAGATATCCAATAAATTTATAATCATTATAATAATCATTATGACTATTTCAAATCTCTATCCTTGTTCCTAAAATAATAATTTGTGATGGTGTCACTCGGTACAAGTTTGCTGACTGAGAGGCAAATCAAAGAGATATAATTATAATTTTATTCAATTTATTTAAGATTTAAAAGTTGTCTGGCTGAATTTAATTAAAGAAAATAAAAGCCAAGTGATGCAGTAAGCCCCTCCCCCAACACACACATTATTGGTGGGAAAATTAAAGCTCAAGTACAAGAAATGTGCTCAAAACTCTACATGAGAAAGTCTGAATGATGAAGCCATGAGTCAGTATTTAAAATTAAAGCTAAGATGTCCAAAAAAAAGAACAAAATCTTAATTAAAATAACTTATTCGCAGAAAACTCACACATGAAAAGAAAAATTTAATTTCCATCCACAGTTTCAGTTGGACAGATCTCTTCTTTTAAGGATTACAGGGTAAATCTCACATGTATGGATCTATGCTTTGGACAAATAACTTAGTAAAATAAAGAGCTGTAGCACTTTTGCATTCAAGGTCACTTAAACACTTGAATTTTTTCTTCAACTAGTATTTCAAACTGAGCCTTATTCAAAGCTTTAGTTAAACTCGGTTCCTAATGCTAACTGATTTTCCACTGTTAAACATGCTGTCAGAGTTCATACTATCTAAAGCATATGATGTCATTTGCAAAGTAAGAGAAAGCACCATAGCACAACCCTCTGCACCCGTCAGATCTGAAAGATAATGTTTTCAGTTTCTCAGTTTGGGGATTTGCCCTGAGCTCATTCTCAGATAGGTTTGGGGAGGGGCTGGAGGGGAGTTTTATACTAAAAAACTTTTCACATTTACATTTCTCTTGTCTTCTGGTTATTAACGCCTTTTGTTTATTTTCACACATATTTCAAACAACAGAAAAGTTGCAAAATGAGACACACTGGGCTTCTGGTTCTGGAATGTATGCAGCTCTGTTCATAGGGAGCTAAGGACTGTGGGTTAAAGATATTTTGTTATATAAAATCAATTCATATTGGTATCTGGTGAGATCTGAGAATGATCCACTATTGTTTTAATGTTATGGTTCTTCAGATTAGATGTATTGAGATGGTTTTAATAGAGAGAAAGCATGCTTCTACAATAGTTTTTAACATCAATTGAAATCACATAAATCTGAGCTTAAAGGAAATCCTCAAAACAGAAAGTTGTCCCTAGTTGAAAATAAAGCTGTTGTGATTTAAAAAGTAGTTCTGATGTAACTGGGAAACTAAGTACAAACTATTTTAAGGATCTTCTACGCAACTACGATTAATATTTCACATTTTTGCACATCATCAGGTCTTAGAAAAAAGCTTTTTTTCCCACCCTGACTCTTAGAAATAAATGCAGATCAAGAGACCTGAGAAGGAAAACTTTTTTCCTCTAAGACCTGATAGTTTATTTCCTGAGCTTGTCTTAAAGAAACGTTGAGAAACAGTTTCTCTTTATAACTGCCTGAAATCGATGACAGCATTTGCATTTGTGTTATTATTGGTGTGTTATTACCTCCACTAATAGGAAAGGCAAATTATTTTTATAGCACAATTCAGTACAAAGAAATTTCAAAGTGCTTAATTAAACAATAAAACAGAAGGGAAATATAGAAGCATAAAAGCAAGTAGAGATAAAAACATGAGTAAAACAAAACAGATGGAGCACAAACATAAATTAATTATATATTAATTATAAAATCGGATCAATTTTCATAAGAATTTTATATTAGTTCATACATAAGGCTTGTTCCCTGGTGCAAAGCACCATGGCAGTCTGCCATCTTGAAAGTACAGACACCAGCAGAGGGTAACATGAACTAATGCATGTATTCCCCTTGCTGGCAGTTCAGCGGGATTGAGAGGCGGAGGTGAAGATCATTTGAAAACGATAACCCAACAACTGAAAGTCTGCACTACTGCAGCACAATGCAGGGTCATGCATATGCACCAGCACCGCAAGAAATTGTTTCCACATCTCCAAGAAAGTGTAAAAACATTACTTAAAGGAAAATGAAACCAGAGACATTTAAAGAGGTGGATGAACGTCGGGCTACCCCTCTTCAAGTGGAAGGAGCTAATAGATAAGCTTAAAGATAAAGTTTTCCATTTGGTTTAACTGGAAAGTGTGGCTTGTTACCACAGAAAGCAAAACAGCAGATTAATTTAATTTTTACCTATAAGCATTGTTGTATGTTGAGGTGTGGTTTGGTGAGTTTCTGGGTGGATCATCAAAATAAGTGGTCCTTCTAATTATCAATCGATCTGGTGATATGTTTATGTTAGGCCGTCCTACATGCTGGTCCCCATTTTCACAGCCAGTGGTGAGTCTGATAAAGTGAAAACATTGTAAATCTTCTTGTGTAAAGTAGCTTGTATGAAAAATGCAAACAGCAACTTTTAAACAGAGCATGCACGAGGAGAAATGGGCTTGTGCACACTCTCACACGCATTTAAAAGCTGTTCCCTATCCAGAGAGGGTACGGGGTTGTGCATGTGCTTTTTTTTTTTTAAGTTGAGGGGCGGGTCTTTTCAAAAATTCTCTGAAAACCCTCCCCTATACCTTTAAATATGTCATTTTTAAAAGTCCAAAATATGAGCTGCATAACTTTAAAGTCTAGGACCAAAAA